GCCCATGGGGGCTAAAGGTAGTTGTAGTGAGTTGGAATTGTCGACGGAGAGTGAAGATATTTCTACCAAAACGCTGTTTTGCCAACCTAATGGTAATAATAATAATTATCTGCTGAAGAAGAAAAACTCTGACAATAAACCTTGTGCTATTCTTGAAAGTACAAATAACAGTACTTGAAGTTAAATCTTTTTGTCGCTGAAGAAAAACACCAACGATAAACCTTGTGCCATTCTAGAAAGTACAAACCACAATACTTAAAGATAAATCCTGTTATCAAGTCTGGCTGCCCTAAAAGAAGTTACACGTTGCCAAATATTAGGAATGGGTTGGAAAAAGAAGCAAAAGAAAAATAACTAAATTTTTTTTTTTTTTTTATATAAATATCATCTAGTGACTTATTCAGGCATCATCTATTTTATTTTTAATTTTGTGTGCGCATATTCAACTCCTTGGTTTAGCTTGATTGAGATACCCCAGTGATAATTTGGCTTCACCCTCTTAAGATCAAAAATCACAATGTGGGTAAGAGAGGTTATAGTTGAAGAGGTTAGCTGCTGTGTCAAATGCCACCAATGACCGATGAGTGTGGGCTGATGGCTTGTTCTTCAATACCAGGATCGATCCTGACCAAGACAGCAGGCCATGCGCCACCTATGCCGCAATAGTGTCAGCATTGACCAGTGCAGGGTTAGCCATAGTTAAAACATCATCCTAAGATCCTGAGGATCAGACCACTAAATGTGGTTACACCACTGGGTACCAGTGACCAAAGATGTGACCCTGTTGCAAGGGGTTCTTATACTTGAAATGGCTTTAAAATAACACAATAAATAAGAAAGCAGCAGGACTTGATAACATTCCTCTGGAATACTTGGGACTTCAACAATATTATATTCCAACTCTGTAACCCCACATATAATGGAGAAGCCATAAAAAAATGAACAGAAAGAAGATCTAGGATCAGCAAAAAACTGTAGAGGAATCTGTAGCTAAGTTATCAAAATTTTTTTTCATTCACTCCTGTCACACTGTCAGCATTCCTTCTATCAACTACCCCGTGTAAACAAATGATGGCTTTTATGGCATCTAGCAATACAAAAATTTTTGGTCATGTAAGACATCACCCAGTAAGTGCAGATTGTGGGGACAGGCTGTGTCCACTACAGAATCACAGCCCTCTGATTTTACTATCACTCAGGTAGCAGATGGGGTTGTCCTTTTACTTCTCACTTGCTTCATGAGGCGACCATGTCATAATCTGCTGAACTTTGTCATCACCGTTGCTTGACTGGTTAGAGCCAACAACTTGTTGACTCATTACAGGTATACATTTCATCACTTGATACAGTGGTTTCATATTCCACAAAATAACTCACTATATAAGGAAAAGGTTTTTCATATGGTATGGCATTCCATCCATGTAAACTGCTTGGGGGTCTCACAAATCTGCCCCTGTCCTCCATTTACTTATGCACCTGTTTGGTGGAGTCCTTATTAGTATAATGTCCCCTTTCTTGTAAATGACCTGCTCAAAATCAGGCTCCAGCAGAGAGATCATGTTGTCACCTTTCACTCGTACTTCATATTGGTACAAAACATTAGCAGGTGCAGTCACACCATGGATGCCATCCTTTGGCATAATGTTATATAAGTACATGGTTTTCTGGACAGAGCATTGCTTTCTGGCAGCAATCCACTTTATGGATCTGTATGATTGTTCAACAATGATAGAGAGATTTTCCTGAGAAAGTACATTGTTCATTTTACACCAGGGTGTCCACAGTGTGAGTGTATTTGCCTTATTTGACTCATTTTCATTCCACTGCCAGTCACAGCTCATGCCTGTAACACATGTTCTGCCTCATTCTTCATTGCTTCCAGCCAGCTCTGTGGGACCGGTGATTCTGTCCACTTTGTTTTAATTCGATTTGACAAGCGTAACGTCCACCATTAACACATACTCCTTGACCAACTCCAAGAAGACTTACAGCCACCTCCTGTTCAGCATTTCACTGACAGCCTTAGTGCTCACTTACTCTGGCTTTACCTGTCAGCAAATCAGTTTTTAAATGTAGTTTTGGCTTCCCAGTGTATAGCCAGGTGTACAAACTTTATAATAGCATCTAGCTCCACAATGTTGATGTGTTGCATGTCTGACTCTGGCCATAACCAGCATACGCCTTTGATAACAGACACACACAATTCAAGCAAGACTCCAGTGGTTCAAGCAAGACTCCATTAGCCAAAGAACTTACATCAACCCACACATCAAGTTCTTTGCTATCAAAGCACCACTCGCCTCTATATGGGTCGCTTGCTTCACCCTGGTAATATTCTCTGACAGCATCCTTTTTAATAGGGCATCATCAGTTCAATCATCCCAACCTTTCATCACTGTGCTTGCTCTTTGCTTGATGACAACAGCTGCTACTCACAGAGTGGGAGGTGTCCAACAAGCTTGCCACAAAAAGAGAATACATTCCTCCTGGTGACTGCCTTTAGGATATCAGGAAGTACATTCCTGTGCTTCCAAAGTGGAACATTGTCTTCCCCCGGAGAGTTTAACCAAGTATTCAAGCTCCATTTTTTTGGTTGCTCTAGAATTTTACTTGTCATAATAGGTGTTCAACGACACTAGTTGCAGACACAATATACTCATTTATGTACAGGTCATCAATGTACACTGGGGTTGCCTTTCTGATTTGTCATCCTGAAATATTATGGCATCAATGACAGATCACATTATTGGGGGTGGGTAACATTCAGCCTAAATTCCAATCTGGTCAGGCAGTTTGGTATGGCCAAAATCATGCATTGATACACACTTTGCTTCTCCATTCTCTTAGTTTTCTAGTGAAAACATCAGCATTTGTAGTGCATGCATCAACATGGAGGTTGAGTTCCCTGTAGTCCATTACAGGACATACTTTCAACTTGTTTTGATGCACAATAGCCATCAGCAGAAGTAGGCCTCTTTGGGGTCCAATCTTCTGCTTGTCATATGGAATAAGCAATCCATTGTTGCAACTCCCTATTGTAGAATCCTCTGATTATTGTCGGCATTGCAACACAGTTTTGAAACTTGCCTGGCATTTTGCTTTCTGACTATTTCATTTCTCCCACATTTGGCACACCTTGCTCACTATAGTGCAGCAGCAACCAGAGTTCACTTGTACGATGCACTTCCTTCCACACACATTAATTTACCATTGGTAAAGCAGAATTTACATCTTGACTGGAGAGGAAACCAGCGCTGAGATGCCATTCCCTGGCCCTTTTCCTGGACAGTCTTGGTATATGTGGCCTATTTTATTGTAGTTACAACAACAAAAACAAGGATTTCCACCTCTGTTGAGCAGACTTTCACAATCTTTGAAGTGATTAAGGCCAATATAATCAACAACAAATTGTCATTAGAACCCTGGCATAGTTCTTTGGTGTATCTCTCACACTGCTGCTACTGCCAAGTCTTCATCTGGGTTCTCGCCTTTTATTATTGCTCAAGCATGAGTGAGCATCTATTCGATGGTCAGCGCTCCCATCTGAAAAGAAGGGCAAAGGAACATTTTCATGCAATTTAGCAACACCTTGACAAAAGCGCACACCAAGCCATGGTCACTGATGCCCCTGAACAATACAGTCAGTTTGCATACTTCTGCCCAGTACACATCAACGCATTCTCCTAGTTGAAAGTGCAGAATTGTTTATACACAACTAATGTGCTCAACATCTGCTTTTTCCTCTTCACACAATGGCTGATAGACAGTAAACACCCCACCAGGCAGTCATAGAGGAATCACATGTTCTGACCACTTCACTTCACACATCCAGCAAACAAGTTCAGTCTTTTCTATCTGTTCAAGCACATTTGGCCCAAATGCTAAGCTGTCAAACTCTAATATAAGTTTGATATCAAACATTCTCTCCAATATAGTTTGCAATATGGCTAAAAGAGCTTGTAGCTGAGTTATCAAAATTCTTTTCCTTTGCTCCTGTCACACTAGCAGCATCTCTTCTAGCACACCCCCACCACTGTAAACAATGGTTTTTATGGCATCTAGTGAGGACACTACACAAATTTTTGGTCACCCAGTCCATGCAGATTGAGTTTCCCATGCACAGCACAGGCAATCATATATCACTTATGCCAGGTGGGAAAGCCCATGTTCACTACAGAATCACATTCACCTCCATTGCAGTAAAAATTTACAACTTAGTACTTCTCAAGAGAATACAGTTGGAAGTAGAAAAGGTGCTTTGAAAAATCAAAATTGCTTTTGAAAAAATAGATCAACCATTGGATAAATTCTTACTGTTTGGCAAATTATTGAGGGCATCTGTGCAAAGAATCTACAGGCTTTCTGTAGATTTCTCTAAAGCCTTCAATTCTGTACATTGGAGAAAAATGGGGAAGACATGGTATCCCCACCACCCACTGAGACAATAATTGCCATAATGATGCTATACAAAAATACCAAATCTTTGGTTAGATTCCCAGAGACACTAGCTTCTTCAACATCAAAGTTATTATGCATCTGTGTACAGTTAATTATATGAAAAGTATGTTTATTCATTAATTGGAAATACAATAAATTAAAAATTTGTATATGTACGAATATTTGTTCCACACACACACACATACTGTTTATAACAAATAATTACTGTCAATCAACTGTTAAATAAATATTGGCAACTTCTCCACAAGTTTTCTTCCAAGATGAAAATTCCCAGTTCACACACTCAATATTTTACATTTAATGTATAATGATAAATATGAACATAAATGGCATACAATTTTTCTATTGCTGATTTTATTTCATTTTATTTCATTTTTCACAACTGAAGCATCAGTTTAACTATCATTTATTTTTTAGTAAATACGGTTATGATAATTTGAACCTTAAGTAAAGCATTCAATAAAACGTAAACCTTTACTTTGAATGAATTAATAATTTGTCCAGCTATTTCCTGATCCATTAGTAAACTTGGCTTTCAATCTTCAGTCAATTTGTGGATTGTTCTTGAAAAGATATTCAGCCTAAAACACAAAAAATTGTATCATTTCAATTCATAAAATAATTTTTTCATTTCAATTAAAAAAATATAATTTTTTTCATTTAATTTTGTGAGATAATTTTTTTTATAACAGAGACATAAACCAATTAAGCAGAATAAAGTTTTTTTCATTGCTTTGTTTTCTATTTTCTAGTCTCAGATAAAAAATGAAAATTTAAATCTGATCATGAACAAAGTAAATTTTTTTTGTTTGCTTGCTATTGATTCTATATACTTTATCTTTTTATCATTCATGATAGATGGTACATTAAGGAAAGTACTCATTTAATCTAGATAAAAAGTTGCAGTTGGTTATAATGAGAGTAAAATGCTTCCTTACTACTGATATTGATCTGGCAAAACTGTCAAAAGTTATGCAAAACTGCAGATATATATGATAAGATAAAGTTTTAAGATATTTTATATTTTGGGGTAAAAGTACTCAAAATCAGAGCTTGAATGTATGTAAATATAAAAGTGGACAACACTAAGCAACAACAGTTTGTTTCATACTTGAACATAACCTTGAGATTCAAGTATGGGACAAACTGTCACAACTTGATGTTGACTTCAGTGTATACACATACACACTCACATATACATATATATATATATATATATATATATATATATATATATTACTTTGAACTTTAGAAATTTAAATTCTGTACAGTTACTCCCATATTGTAATTATAGGGCTTAGACACCATTTTCAATTAATCTTTCTTTCACCATGCAGAACAAAATTTTTTCTACATTAAAACTTTCCTTTGGGTCCATTATATATCCATATCAAATTTAAGGGCTCTACATGAACTAGTTTGATCATGTTTTAATGAACAAGTCTTACAAAATACATGCATAGGTGCATAAACGTATAGAAAGGTATGCATAAAAAATTTAGACATGTTTTAAGAGTGAATTAGTTGAAACTTTGTAAAAGTTAAATTATTTTTATAAACAGGACTTTTATTCCTTCATGTAAACTATTATAATTTAATTATCATTTTTGCATCTATTGAAGTTGAAAATAATTTTTTTTTTATATTCTAATAAAAAATAATTTTTCACAAAATGATTTCATTGCATCAATTTTCTTTTATAATAGAATTGATATAATAAAATGCTTAAATTTATATTTATTTATATTATATTTATTCATTTTTTTAATTCAGAAGTACATTTTGTGAGACAATGCACTAATATTAAATAATAAACATAAAACTTACTAAATAATCCACAGGATCATCTGGTCGTACTTTGCAACAATCAATAAGACCTTTTGATAAAGTAGGCATCACATGCTTCATTAAATAGTTTCTAAGTGGGATTGAACGGGCTTCTAATTGTTCAAATTCCTGTTGTTTTACTTCAAACAGTTTATTAGCCTGTAAAATAATACAAAGATAATAAGCTTAAAACAATCAGAAAAGTGTTTTTATATGTTTTAACTTTTTATATTATTGATACAATACTTTAATTTTTAAATTTTATTTCAAAAGATTGTGGCATGATTGGCTTCAAAGATTAGAATCAATACAATTAAAAGAGTCTACCATCAAATCATCAAATAAATGCAAACAATCCCTTCCTTAGCTGCATAGTATACACTTTGTCAGGAATACATATAGTTTTGAATTCAGTTTTCTTCCTAGACCAATTGCCACCCAAGGCTACAGAACCCAGTCTGTCCTATGTTCATCTATAGCTGGGAGGAAAAGAGTTGGATTCATACCTTTCCCAAGGGTATTAGCACATAAGTTAATGTAATAAATACAGTTAAGAATTTTTTTGTTTTTGGGTCATGTTGTAAGATATTTTTATCAACATTATAACAGTAAAATTAAAAGCAACTATTTAGGAAAATATAAAAAATTCTGGAGGAAATTTACCCATTCTTTTTCTTTCACTTTTCTTTCAGCTTCTTCTTCCATTTCAAGTTTTTCCTTTAGTATTCTTTCTTCTTCCTTTTTTTTGTGTAACTCTCTTTCTTCAGCAAGTTGTATTTGCTCAAGTTCTTCTTTTGTTGGACCTGATAGAAAGAAATGTCAAACAATAGCAATAATAATATTTGCTGAAATAACACATGGTATATATTTAAAGAGACATTATAATCTTGTACCTGCAAATGGTAACTATAATTTAAATTTTAAATAAAATCCGAAGTCAATTCTTACCATAATTACGTGGATTCTTGATAATTTCTTTAATTTTTTGCACAGTATCATTCATCATTTCTGAAGTATCTTTCATGACATCTGCAAAGCATATAAACAACTAGTATAATCAAATCTTATTTATAATTAAATCTTTCAGTATTATACTTACTTTCTTCATTATTATAGGATTACAGGTAAATAAAATGGTATAAATTTGTACAACTGCTGAAGAAAATTATTTCTTTCTATATAATATGCAACATGGTTTCACATTTCTAATTCTAAAAGCTGTTTCTATATTATTTTACTTGCAAAAATGCCAATTAAATGAGATCAATATTACAAATTCAAATTATGGCCTAGTCTATTGCATTCACTTTCACCCAAATGAGCTTGGGAAAGGCATAAATCTATATCTTCTCTTCCCTGTTATAGATTAAACTGCAAGGCAGACCAGGCTCTCTAATCTTGGGTAGCAACCAGTCTAAGGGAAGGAAAACTTTGAATTTCAAACTCTGGAGAAGGAAACAGGAAACCAATCCATTCTTTTTTTTCCCAGGAAGTCATAGCAATTTACAAATTATAAAGAAAAAGAATGTGAGGAGAGTTATGATTACCTATGTTCTGAAGGGACATGAGATTATAAAAAAGTGAAAGATTATAAATTATAAATAGAATGTTAAAGTAACTCCATAAGTGTAATAGAGTGAATAAAATATTTCTCTTAACCTTTAAATGAGAAAGTTTAAAGTAGAATAGGAAGAATTATAAAGGAACTGCTGCTCACAATCAGAAAGAGATAGCTGTAGATTTTGCAAGCTGTTAACAGTAATTTACAAACATATACAATATTTTTTGGTACAAAATGATATAATAATTAAAGAATAGTTGCCAGAGAGCTAACCAGGAAAGGCATTAAAAGTATGATAAATTTTTTTATGTAAGCCTATTGGATTATTTCAGTTAAATATCATCAATTGTAAATAAAAAAATATCTGAGTAAATACAAATACTGCAATATAAAATATTAATGGAAATTTAGAAACAAATCTTTTCCCTACCAATTTTTATTGGATGAAATTCTAGTTCATCAAAATAGTTTAATACTGTGTTATCCTCTGTATTGATTCTACGAAATTCTGTAAGTCTTCGAGTGAATCCTTCCTCAGTATTGTGAGTACCTGCTACGACGCTTTCAGGAAGGTTAATGTTACGTTTATGTAAGAATTCATCATTTGCTTCCAGGGAAAATATGAATTCAGGCATAATGTTCTTGTTGTAATTTATGTCTTTTTCATCTACTTCCTCCTCTTCATCAGCTGAAAATATATGAAAGAATATATGGCACATTTCAACTCATTTACTATTTATTGATCATCAATTTTGAATTTTTAAAGGAATGAAAGCTCAATCAGCATTCTCATTTTTTAAACAATTAAATTACAATATAATTTCTAAAAAAAAACATTAATTTTACCTTGAACTCTTGAAAATTGAGAACAGATTATTAAGTCACATGACAAAATACTTTCTAAAAGTCCTCCTTTCTCATTACGTGTCTCAGAAATTTCAGCTGCCTCTTCCTGATGTTAAGTATAAGATTCCTCCTTGTTTGCATTCTCTCCAAAACCTCATCATTGCTAACATGCTCAGTCTATGATATCCTTAGCATCCTTCTGTAGAACCATACCTCCAATGCCTTGAGTCTCCTCTTTATCTATGAAGAGACCGTCCAACATTCGCTGCCCTAAAGGAGGACAGATATCACATAGCAGTTCAGGATTTGTTTCTTTGTTACCAACGAAATCCCCACGTCTCATAATACTCTGCCTAGCTTTTGGAATGCAGCTTTGGCCATCCCAATCCCTTTTCAGATCTCAACATCGCACTTACCGTCCTCTGTCAAATATTTACATTTCTGCACCTGCTTGATTTTAGTGCCCCCAGACATGTAAATTGCATTTCAGATTCATATTTTTACTGATGACTATGCATTCTGTCTTCTCATAGTTTATGCTCAGTCCCTTCCTCTCACTCTCCTTCACTACCTTCTGTAGGAGGTTTTGTAATTTCCTTTCCATGTCTACTATCAGTTCTGTGTCATCTGCATAGCTATTGCTGTTAAGATTGTATCTGCCAATGCTGAATCCTGTTAGGATTTCCAGTTCTCTCAGAATTACCTTACTGTATAGGTTGAATAAGTCAGGTGAGAAGACACATCCTTGCCTTTCTATTTTTGTATATCTACTGAACTTGTTTTCTATCCACAGGTATGTATCTATATACATATATTAATATGTATAAGGTATATATATATATATATATATATATATATATGTATGTATGGAAGATGGCCTTGGAAGAGTTGTTGTTGGATGCATCACGGACGTGGACATGTCCCCTGAGCTTACACAGTCAAGTTTTTGGGTGGACATTACTGGCCTCACACATGACATCTGTCATGGCCTAACAAGCTGGGATGGTTACAGCAAGGTCCTCAGGTCATAGGTTTTACGTCAGACTGCCCTTGTCCTAGATGGATTTCCTGCCAAGGCTGTCAAGCTCCATCTGCTCCTGGCATGTAATAGCTCTTTAACCCATAGCTGGTTCCTAAAACAGGTACTATCACACTAGGACAGGGTAAACCTGGGAGCAATGGTAATTAAGAGGTCACACTACTCTCCCCAAAACTCTGGCCCTCCCAGATCAGAGCCTTACCACAAGTTGCATTTTAATGTCTTATATGTGTGTGTGTGTGTTTATATACATACGGTTTGTATATATTTATATAAGCTATATATATATAAGCTATATATATACAAATTATAAATGTGTATAAATATATACGATACATATATATCCTCTATGTATATACCTTATATATATATATATTACACCAAAAACAAATTACTTCAACGTGTTTTTTTTGCTGTAAAAAAAATACATATGCTCTGTTATAATAAATATTTCAAGCTCTCCATGGATAAGTTTTAATAATTAATATTACTAGGATTCACACTGATTATATACCAACAGATCGATTATCTGCACTATATATATATACATATATATAAATATAAAAGTGAACATAGAAGTCAACACTTAGACGCAAAGTCTGTTTCATTTTATATGCAATCGTCTGGCCACTAGATACCATGTGAAAATGAAACAGACTGTATCTGAGTGGTCATGTTTATTTTATATTCACTCTATCTCTGATATTGAAACTTTATCCCATAAATATAGCAGATCTTAAGACTATATATATATATATATATATATATATATATATATGAATATATACATATATATAAAATATAAGGTATATATATACATGTGTATATATATATAGGTATATATATACATATTTTTTCTAGTGTGTGTGTATATATATATATATATATAATATATATATATATATATATAATAATATTAGGTATATGTATATTTATGTTATATAAATGCAATATATATATATAATATATATAAGTTATATAAATAAAGTGTAGATAAACATATATATAAGGTATATATACATATATATAAGTTGTACATATTTATATATATAAAGTATGTATATATGCATATATATATAAGTTTTATATACATATATAATGTATATATATAATGTATGTGTGTATGTATATATATATATATATATATATATATATATATAATGTAAAGTATATATATATATATATTTGTGTATTTTGGCAGCAATCCTTCTTTCAAGCACATTTCATTGAATACGACAGACAAGGTGGTTTTATCTAGTTCTTTATACAATTTCTCATGCAATCCAATAATTTTTTTCTTTTCAGATGATAAATTATATAAAAACTGTCCAAACATAACATACTTGTTGACAACACTAATATAATAGCATCATCTACATGCAAAACAAAGGCTAAAAATAATGGAAGCCTTATTAATAAAAACAAAAAAAACAACACTTAATAATATCAGCTATGAATATGGACACAATATCTTGACTGTGTTTTGAAAAATAAAAACATTTCATAAAACATACATGCAACAAACTATTTCTTATTTAACAGTTGAAATATTTAATACTTGAAAATGTTCAAATGTAAAGCCGAATGCATTCAGATAAAAAGACCATTTTCATCATCTGAAAAAAATTTAATTACATCAAATATATGAAATTTTTAAAAACTAAATAAAAGTTTTTTCTGTCAAATTTAATAAAATGTACACAAACACATATATATATATATATATATATATATATATATATAAATATATATATATATATATATCATGGTTGCATAAAAAACATATAAATGGTTTTAAAATGAGGGAAGGTTATTGAATAGAATAATCACATATTTTGAATGAATTAATACTTAAGACATGAACAACATCTGTTCACTCACCAGTATATCCTATGAAGTATGAACTGCAGAAATTTCAAGTGAATTCTTAATGAATATTCAACTGCAACTTTGAGTAAAAAAATCTAGTATTCAAATATATATGGCATATGAGGATTGTCCATGTTGTGCTACATTTCCGTTTGAATATATATATATATATATATATATATATTATATTTAAATAAAAAGAAAGAATTAAATTTCATGTAAACAAAGTTCTTATTGATATTTTTCTTTAAACAAAAATAGTGTCCATAAAAATTTTAAGAAACATTTAAATATTATAAATTAACTGATTTAAAAATAGTTTTTTTTTATTTTACAGGTTAACAACCATGTTTCAAAAATTAAGCTAAAACTTTCAATTTAATTTATTAATTAAATTAAAACATTAGTTCCATTTTCATCCCTAAAAAATTTTGACGAACTATTTAATTTATTATTTTTTAAAATTTTGTTTTCCATAAAAATCTGAAATTCATAATTTAAAAAACCAAGGATAAAGAAAATCCAATGATCCAGACAAGGGGTGGTATTCATGTTTATTTTTTTAACAATTTGTTGTATCAGTTATTTGACGAATTTGAAAAAGGTTTTTTAAATGGACTACATGTGTTTCACATTCTTAAAACATCCATTAAATTCATTGGAAATCGTTTTTTTTTTTTTTTTATAAAATTTTAACTTAACAGCAAAAATTCTTATTATTTTTTTTTATTTTTTACGAAATTGTCAGGTTAGAATACGTTTTATTTAACTACTATTTTAAAATATTTTTTCCTTTAATTTTTAATAGACTATGTTTCTTTTAAAACAAGTAAATGTAATCAGAATTACTTCCAGTATATAAAATTATTTTTCCATCAAATATAATTTTGTATATTACTTTTCACATGTTTTTTTTTGTTTTGTTTTTTTTTTGTTTTTTTATTTTCAAAATATTATTTAAAATGCAATGTTTTTTTTTTTTGACAATGATGGCAAAATATTGCTATTTCATTTCTCTGATTTTAGTAAATTTTAATTTTTTATATTTTTATAATATTTTAAATATAAATAAATAGTTTCTCAGATTAATATGGTTAAAAGGCTGAAAACATGGGTTTGGATTTATTTTGGCGAGGCGAATTAATTTTTCTTATTAGTTTTATTTTATTTTTTTCTGATTTTTTTGATTTTTTTATCAAGAATAGCAACAATTCTTGATATGTTTATTGATAAATTCATTTTATTTTATTTAATGTAATTTAAAGGATGTTTCACAAAGAATACGTTTTTCCATTGTAATCGAGACTAAATTAAAATATTTTCACTCTAATTTTAATAGAGTATCAATCCAGTTTAAACAAGAATGTAATAGAATTTACTTATAAAGAACTTCAATTAAATTTCAAATATAAATTATTTGAAATTACTTAAAGATTTTATTCTTTTTTAATTTTTTTTATTTTATTTTTTTTTTTATATTATTTAAAGCAAATTTTTTTTTTGACAGTTAAAAATAGCTATTTTTTTTCTCTGATTCAGTAAATTTTATATATATATATATATATATATACCTATTTATATTTTAAATAAACTTGATAAAATTAATTTCAAAAACACATTAGGAAATTAATCCTGGTCTAAATTTAAAAATTAGTTTGTTTCACATTCATATCCTAACTAAATCTTTAATAAATACAATTAGGATCTTGGGACTCTAATATATATAACTTTTATAAATATGTTTTTCTGGATATAAGTATCCTAATTATTTAATTCAAATGTCTTAAAAAAAACAACTTGATTTTTTTTAATTGGGAAAAAAAAAATATTAATTTATTTTTAAAATTTTGCAAAAATTTTTTTCACTGAAGCTGATCAATTTTTATAAATGTTCTATTGAAACTTTTTAATATTATTTGCAAAGAAATTGTTGA